GTACATGCTAGTCACTAGCCCCTCTAATGCTAACACCGACTTATAATGCTAGTCTCTAGCCTCTCTAATGCTAACACCAACTTATATGTACATGCTAGTCACTAGCCCCTCTAATGCTAACACCAACTTATCCATGCTAGTCTCTAGCCTCTCTAATGCTAACACCAACTTATCCATGCTAGTCACTTGCCTCTCTAATGCTAACACCAACTTATCCATGCTAGTCACTTGCCTCTCTAATGCTAACACCAACTTATAAATGCTAGTCACTAGCCTCTCTAATGCTAACACGAACTTATCCATGCTAGTCACTTGACTCTCTAATGCTAACACCAACTTATAAATGCTAGTCTCTAGCCTCTCTAATGCTAACACCAACTTATATGTACATGCTAGTCACTAGCCCCTCTAATGCTAACACCAACTTATAATGCTAGTCTCTAGCCTCTCTAATGCTAACAGCAACTTATAAATACTAGTCACTAGCCTCTCTAATGCTAACAGCAGCTTATAAATGCTAATCTCTAGCCTCTCTAATGCTAACACCAGCTTATCCATGCTAGCTGCTAGCCTCTTCAATGCTAACACCAGTTTAATGCTAGTTTCTAGCCTCTCTAATGCTAACACCAGCTTATCCAAGCTAGTCACTAGACTCTCTAATGCTAACACCAACTTATAAATGCTAGTCACTAGCCTCTCTAATGCTAACAGCAGCTTATAAATGCTAATCTCTAGCCTCTCTAATGCTAACACCAACTTACACATGCTAGTTGCTAGCCTCTCAGTTAGCGGTTCCGGCCTATCATTAATCAGATCAGTAGCTGGATTAGGAACAGATTTAGCCTCCTGCTAGGTGGATGTAGCAGCCCCTGGTTGGGCAATAATCTTAATTTTGGCCCTCATACTGTGCCGTACAGGAGGGGAAACCCAGACCCCCTGACCCTGGAGACCTCTGCAGCCTCACAGGTTTCTGACAGACGCTTCACTCACTCCAGGCACGAAGGTGAGGATGTTGTACTTCTGGTTCTTGATGGAGTTCTTCGGGTACTTCTCCTCACATTTCTCCGGGCGGCCGAGCCACACGGTCCGGGCCTTGAGCTCCTTCTTCCTGCGGCAGAACCGAGCCAGGCGGTCGCAGCAGCTGCAGGAGAGAAATAAAAACAGAGAGAGCCTCGGTGATTCTTTCAACTCTGATGATTTCACCTTCCTGAAAGTGTCTGACTTTGTTTTCACCTGCTGTCAGCGGGCTTATCTCCCGTATCTGATAGAAAACGCAAACAGAGCGGGTGAATTTCAGCTCGTCATGAATCTGAGCTGCTACCTGGGGGTGAGGGGGGGGCGGTGTGTGCCGTCATGCTGAGCGACTTGGCTTTTACACGTTTTAAGCAAGTTGGCAAAAGCAGAAGTTAAATAAATGAACTTTGGTAAAAAGTGGTGTTTGTGTTGGCCTCGGCGTTTCGGTGGTCCGGCTCCATAAGAGCCCTTATTTAAATAATATGTCATTTAAACAGTCGGGGGGCTTAGCCTGAATTATTTGTGTTTTATAATCCTGCGCTCTTCAAACAGAAAATTACTGGAAAGCATCAAACTGGTGAGCTGTGAAAAATCCCATTTGTTCATTAGTGGGAGGGGGGAAGGGGGGGGGATGAAGTGCTGCACAAACATTTGTTCATAAATGTTCAACTTTACTGTTCCGGAGCGAACAAACAGCGCTGTCTGTCAGAGAGGAGCATCTTTAGAGGACGAAACGAGTCGGGCGCATCTTTGTGCGCACGAGGAGCTCAACCAGCAACTCGTCCTTCTCCTGTCTTTGCTCAGCGGCACGCTTCATCAACGCTGCGCTCACACAGGAAACAACCAGGGGTGGTCTCTGAAAACAACCCACCTGCCACACAGGAGCTTCCAGCCCCCCAGGAGGAACCAGCCCAGGCCCTGGTGCCGCTGACCCACTCGGGCCCGGGGCAGAGTCTGGTAGTCGCTCTCGTCGTTCTCGAAGCCTTCCTCCGACATCATCAGAGGCATCTCGTCCAGGTTGGACGACTCATCTTCTAAAGAGAACCTGAGAGGAGGAGAGGAGGAGAGGAGTGACTKCCTGTCACCAAATGAACCAGAGAACATTAAAAACATGAAGAACTGACGTTCACTCAGACAGAGAGAAACTGTTAAAACCAGGCTGGATTTAAAGACAGATGTTCTGTTGAATCCAGGTGATGCAGCTTCTCTGATGATTACTCTGTTTAACATCCGTCCAGTGGTTCAGCAGATATTATGCTAACAGACAGTGGTGGGCAGCACCAATATAAAACTTACTTTCACTAACCCKAAARCACTAACTTTAATATTTAGGTCCCCTAATTCTAAAGAACTAAAAACCCAGCTGACCCTCACAGTCAACATGAGAATATTTTCTGTGGGCTGAATATTATTATATTGTTTTATTAATGATTGTTAATATTTCATTTAATGTAGTGGTTCCCAAAGTGTGGGTCGGGACCTCTTTGTGGGTCACAAAACATCAAGTGAGGGTCCCCAGATGATTTCCAGACATCAATTTAAATGCAAAGAAAGAAAGATTTTCATTATAAT